TGGTGGTGGTGGTGGTGGTGGTGGTGGTGGTGGTGGTGGTGGTGGTGGTGGTGGTGGTGGTGGTGGTGGTGGTGGTGAACCAAGTAAATCAGGTAAATGCCAGAAAATGAAGACATGGGAAAACTAAATTATGTGAACATATTAAAAGGCATAATGGTATGAAAATCGGTCAATATTCTACTTAGCAAACCGTGAAAATGAAAGCGAATAGCCAGTAATTAGAGCCTACCAACAATCCCGATATCGCGTCGACGCGTCTTACGAACGATCGTTGCAGTCTCGATTCACTTGTTAGCGAAATAGGCTTAGTGACACAGTTACTTGAGAACATGCATACGACTCAGTCACATCGCTATTATGCACAGGCCAACGGCCGAATGACTAATTTAACAACCACATATCTTCCTGGGGGAACCAGCTTAGACTAGTTGAAGGTGTTGCCACTTTACGGGATAAAGACGCAGAAATAAGTGGAAGCAAGCAAGAATGTTTTGGCGTTTTTACTAGTTTTTTTACTACGAGCAGACTGGCTCTGTCCATGGGGAATGTTCATTTCCGCGTGCACGACTACTGGTAAAAATTGTTCAATTTGAAGCCTGATTGGAGCACGTGGTGTGCTAAGAACAGGGGAAGTGAATTGGCCTTTGACAACCCGTAAAAAAAGCATAGGGCAGTTGTGTAAATAGGCAGTTAGAATGCCGCAGCAGTTAAACGGTGCTGGATGATTTAATGTGTGAAGCAAAAACCGCTTTGGCTGAGAATTGGCATGTGGACGAGTCAAAGAAGTAAGTATGCAAAAATATGATGCAATCATACACAACTGCAGTACTAAACGTGATTTAATTGAGCCATCTGTCTGTTTTCCATGTCCTACCTCACTATCCCACTGTTGGTATTTAGCACAACTTTAAAATTCACAACACCACCTCACTTATTGTACGAAATGACTGATGAACCAGCAATTTCTGTGGTTATAGAGCCAGTTTCCACAATGTTGCAATCATTTTAAATTAACATTTGAGTGTACTTACTCATGATAGACTTGACGACCGCCTTCTCCCTGACCCACGTCATGAGCACGTCGTATCGGATCAGCTTGTGGACCTTCCGTCGTTTCAGAAAGGCCTGATTCTCGGCTGCCAGAATAGACATTGAGGTCACGACGGGTGTGGCCGCGGAGGCGTTGGATTTGATCGCAGCGTCAGCGGATCGTGCTTGCTGGACCGCCGACAGTTGGTCGATCAGATGGCGACAGGCAAGCATCCGCACCTTGAATGAACTTCCAGCGCCCGCAGGGGGACACAAGGAGGCCAGGAGGATGGCTAGATGTCGCTCATCCACCCTGGACACAGAAAAGAAGGGCGCGGTTGGGGGTATCGACGGATATTGCTCGACAAGACTGTCCCAATCGGGTTGGCGGGGCTGGGTGAAGTCAACGACGGTGAAGGGGAAGGAGGAGTTGAACACATAAGCAGCTTCATTGGAACTGCTACTACTGGCGAGGGATGCAAATCGATAGCACAGCACACGCACGGATGTCACCAGATCGAATATCCTAGACTCCTAGGAAAAAAGAAAATTTCATATAAATTCAAGTTATGAGAATCAGAAATATCACGTTTGCGCTTGGAGAAGTCTTTTTGAAGCTACATTTATTTTTAAAAAAATAGAAAATTACCTGTGGATTGCAATCCTCAGAGGTGAGATTGTGGATGAGCCACAGGGTTCGAATGATTGGCCAGCTGGCGTAGCGACACATTGTCTCCATTGTCAAATACTCCGCCACATTGGCCAGGGGACCCAGCGTCGACTGCATGCCCTACAGTAAAACAGCACTTTTTAATGACCCGAATTCCAGACTAAATAATTTAAAGCCTGTGTCGTGACCATAACAGAATCATCCATTCTAAGTTGGTTCTTCAAAATGATCGTTGATCGCTAAAGGGAGGATTGAGGGCATAATCACAGATTGGAACATTAGAGCCGTCCAGCCAACATCGACACCTGTTTGAAGTGTGGAGTAGGAAGGGACAATGAAGGCGGTTGAGAGTGTGGATCAAATCACGTCCACCACCTTCGTCCATTAATGTACCGGTTAGTCGACCACCTGTGCACTGTACGTTCCAACCTGTATCTGTGTGATTAATCACCACCATACTTTCCACATCCTCCATTAGTTACGACCACCAGCAGGCTGCGCACTTTAAAAGCAGTCGTGATCTTATACAGGCAACACATTTGTTCTGGTCTCTATCGTTAATCTATTGGATGGATGACTTATTTTTTCCAGATGTTTTCTTCAAGCTTAAAAGTATGTTTAAATTAGACATATTCTCGAGGTCGTTTAGTGTTTCAAAGGATCTGACACAGGGTTTTAGAATACCGAATGACAAGTCTACGTGAGTTACATAACCTCTCACAATAGCAGAGTTTACCATGGCAACTGACAAACAGCCCACTCGGCACTGAATTTTACACGATTTCTCACAAGCTGAAAATGCTTCTAAGGCACGAGAATAAATTTGTATTGTTTTTGATTCTAAAATAGTGTCTTAAGAAACGTGTAATTATCGGTACAAGAGCTTTAGAAGTAGTGATTTCGACATTGGAGACCAGCCGCGCCCCGAACAGCCCAAAGAAATGAGAAAAACTGGTGAAGAGTAATTGGCTGACAGTCGACCAATCACCTTAATGCGTGATTCATGCGGTCAGGTATTTGAAGAGGCACTTAATGCGATTGAGCGCGTACTATCACCCTGTATTAATGGAGAAAGACAATGACAAGTAACTAACCTTCAGGGGGAAGTGATGGCGAGTGACATACCAGCGGATGAGCTCGAACCCTCCGTGAACTCCAAAACAGTTGAGCAAATTCACGAGGTAGAAATTTTTCGGTGCCGGTAGGGGTTCTGCAAATAGGTGCCTACTGTCCCCGTCTCCGGTCTCACTACTTGACAACGAGCTCCAGTTGTTGAATGAATCGCTAGAAGCGAACACAGGAATGTCCTAGGAAACTTTTCTACTTAAAACGAAGATAAGTAGATCGAAGTGCCACTACCGATTCTTAAAATCAAGGCCTACCTCAGGAGCACTGCGGAGAATACACACAACCGATATTTACCGATTTGGGCACGTGTTGCGTGTGTGTGTGTGGCTCCAACTTCATCTTGTTTTAGGTCTTTGCGTTAGTGCAGTTTCGCTATATTTTTTGACACTTTGGAATTTATTTTGACACATAAATACAACCAGGGAACCTTTTTTCCACTTCTTTGGAAAAAAATAGGTATTCAGCTGTGAGATCAACGCTGGGAATGAGGGAGCTAAAAGTAAAATGAACCAACACAATCTTTTTCAAATTAGTCGCAACCCTATACGCTTGCCTTGCGTGAAACGACTTGTGATGTTTGCAGGAAAATTACGCCCTTCGGTATACCCAACAATCACGGAGACTTGGCAAAAAATCCCCTTCGTCAAAAAAAGCCTCTTAAATGCACATGACATTTATAGAAGACGCCAATAACAGAAATTTGTGTCCCTCTTGACCAGATAAAGGGCACCAATCATTGAAGATTATTGGAACAAAATCAAACTGCAAAAAGAACACAATAGCCCATGGCCTGATTTTCAAGTAGTAGAAAGACTGGTTTACCTTCTTTGTCAAAGTTATTTTAAACATATTTTCAACTCAGCTCCAAAAACAAACCAGTACTGTAATTTCCTTCACGTGAATGGAGTCATAGGATCTCTGAAGCTATCAAGGTCGTAAATTGGTATGGGTCTTATGAACGGAAGTGATTAGTAAGGCAATCTAACTATTTGACTTACATATAATTTCCGATGTTCGAACTTCGATCACGGCACCTCTGATGATAGCTGCACTCGGGATTAAATATCGCTTCCAGGTAGGCAAACGCTACGCCAATTAAGTCTTGAACAACTGAAGTTTGACCAGATGGCTGATCAGTGCATAGCTTTTTTCCGGCGGCCAGGCATTCGACGGCTAGTTGAATTACTAACTCTAACATATTATGAACTCCTTCTAGAGTGTCAGCATCCCACTGCAAGACAGCACTTGACGTGAGAAACTAAAAAGAAATGCCAAAATTCACAATTAGCGATTCGTGCCGACTGACTAAAATCATAATCTATTGGGCTACTTGAATGTAATTCTTTGCAAAGAGTCTGAATGCATGACACATTGCGTTACTAATTCAAATTAATCATTTTTAAGTCGTCTTGACAAAAAAAACCAGTTTAAGCGAGGACATATTCTTTGTTTTCATTTTATAAGCTTCGTGAGGCATTTACAGAAATGGAATGAAAACCTGCCTTGGATAAACATTCATTCAGGCATTTGTTCATAAAGCGCTCGAGGCCGTCTGTAGTGGTGAAAGCAGATGCACCTCCGTTTTTAATTACTTGGATTGCGGCTAATAAGCATATTCCAAGTGATTGTGACCGTAGGCAAGGTATATTCCATTTTTCGACATAAAGAGTATCTTCAAGCTTTTTGAGTTCTTCAACGGGAAAGCGACCAACAGAGGTCACAGAAGGACTATCCTTCTCACTTGATTGACCATCTTGAATTCGAACATGCGGCCCGAAATTGTCCTAAGTTAATAAAGCATAAAGCGTTCATTATAAATATTAAAAAAACATCTACCTTAAACCGGTCATAATGAATGCTTAAAGTTCCTTTAATTGTATTCATTGCTTGATTCATAACAAATCAAGGTTGAATACGAATCTTTTATTTGTGCTTAATTATGAACGTCAAGTTCAATGGAACTCGGCGGGGTTAGGTAAGTGATATGAATCCTGATTCCGAAAATTTGTGGAAAATGCATGTATTAATATTTAAAGCATCAACGTGTGATGGAAAAAGTAGTCAAATCAAAGACTATGAATACATATCAACGATCGCTCAAAGAAAGCAAGCACATCAATTAACATCCATCGCAGAGTCACTGCTACATGTACTAACATTATACCGTAACAATTAAAATGCAAAAAACCGACTATCACGTTTATAACCAGAAATCGATTGCAATAAGAAACAAACATCATAACTTCGTACATTGACAAGGAACGTTATTGCAGAATCAACATCATTTTCGCAGGAAAGAAGAGCTTCTTTAATTCGAGATTCATTACCGAAACCCATGAGCTGCAATTTCCGCAGATTCGAAGCGTATTCATCACGATGGTCAGACATACCTAAAACCCGCTTTGGATAGGACGAATGTTGAGTCATTCATGTAGATCAATAAAAGACTGCTGCATAGTTGAAAAATTTGTCAGTTTTTTTGAAAAAAGCATACTAATACCCAAAAATTTAAGAAAAAAATTTACTCAGAATATTTAAAGCAGGTTCGTTTTATTTTTTAACAGCCAATAGGTTTATATTGACATCGTTAAATGTCCGTGAAATCAAGTCATGTCGTTTATCCAAGAAAGAAGTTAAGTAAATGTGAATACAGTGGAATTACAGCAAACTTTTAACCAACTACGTGCAAAAATCCAGACCTGTTTACTTCAAAAATATAAAAATGTTGGAGTGATATTATTTTAGATTTTTGCTTAAAATCTTAATGCAAATTACCTATTATTTTTTCCAGCAAAAAAATTAGACCTTATCTGAAATCTTCGCATAGTTAACAACTTTTAAAACTTATTTCATTTAATGCCCCTGGTAACGTGTGTTTTTTTTTTAAGCGTACATCATTTTCGAAGGCCAGACTTACTTTGAAAAATGGATTAAATGGATGTGGTATTATGCTATGATAAGGGCTGAGAAAAAGGTCTCTGAAAACTTTGTATATTAGATGGAATATTGCACTGTAATCTACATAGAAAATACAAAACTTATTGTTGACTTTCCCTTTCCAGGCATAGTTTACATAATTAGGAATAAGGCTTGGTCCATTACTTTATTTCTTGACAGTTCGCAATGAAGATTAATAATAAATAAGGTGGTAATTACCACTACCAGCTTATATTTAGTTATGTATTCCTCGTGGTTATCATTAAAGTAGTGTTTACCACCAATTAAATTATTTCTAATATTGCAATAATTGAATCTAGTCAAACTGGATAGTTAAATTGATGTTTTAATTTGGCTTCATTAAACCAATATATTTAAAACTGGTCTCTCCGTTTTTACTCACTCACTTGCAATTTTACTCAAATAGGTTTGCGCACACTGCCGCAAGCCTTTAAGCACATTTTACTTGACTGTTTATACATTTTGTCTGCAAAGTTGTTGCAGCTGAAACGTCGGGGTTACATGTTAGTATTGGCAAGTGTTCTGAACTCTGAACCATTATTTGGCTAATGAGTAATAGTACTGGAGAGCCGCTTGTCAATAACTTCAAAATTCCCTCATGGTTGGTTAGCTTTTATAGTAAAGATTATATTACAGGGCAGCTAAACCACCTCCGGGTGTGCACTTAGATGTTATGAAAGACGGCAAGCTTATTCAGGTATGTGATCTCTTGATCTCTCACACAGTCGGAAACACCTGCTTATATTTTTGCATCTGGTATTTTTTCTTAAAATAAATACGTTTTAAAAGTTTTTTACTACCTTCATCAATTTCTTGACGCTTATTTACCCATTATTTACCTGGTTGTTGGAAACGTGTGCCCATAATCGCTGATCATTGCCTCCTATTGCATTTGTATTCACGTATTGCTCGCTCATATTTTGTTTCTTGCGAACATTTGAACATGAAAGATCACAGAAAAATGGGCCGTCTTAATTTGACTGTCAGTGAACGCCTCAAAGGTGCATAATTTAGCCATTCATGAATTATGGCGCCGTTTCTTCGTGTTATACGAAGCGAAGGTAACATGCGCAGTTTCCTTCCATTAAAACGAGTTTTGGTTTTTTATGATTTATTACACATATCCCAGTGCAAAAACTAGCTCTTGTAGTCCTCTTTGTTCATTTGTATACTTTTCCGTCACATATATTTGTTTTCAAAAATTATGTTTTATAGCTATGGGCACAAAAGTCTTGCATTATTTTATTCATCTTCCTTCAAAATATCAGTTAACTGGGATGAACAACTATTTCAATAAATTATTACATCTTACTTTATAACAGAAACTGATGATGGACGAAAAGTCGTGCTACTTTTTCGGGCGAAACCGACAGCTTTGTGATTTTGCTATCGACCATCAATCGTGTTCCCGCATCCATGCTGCCTTAGTTTGGCACAAGAATCTCAATCGCGCCTTTCTCATCGATCTAGGCAGCGTCCACGGAACGTTCATTGGCCGGATCAAACTTGAACCCGACCGTCCTCAGCAGGTGAGATTGTCAAACGTTATTTTCCTCGATTGTTGTGTCAGCTATTCGGAAATCGGCCAGTTCTCTGGCTCTTTAAATAACTAAAGGTGATGCGATCGATTCCAAGGTATAATCCATGAAATAAGTTGTTTGTGTGGTTGTCTTAATGCATAATAATTTAGCTAGCATGCACTGCGAAGCGTTTTTCAGTTACTTTTTTTGTCGGTATGCCTCAACCTATAAGCTTCGATATTTTCACTGGGCTTGGTTGTTGGTTTGCTTTATTGTTGATCGATTGACTTCATTCTTCAGGTTCCTATCGACTCTGAAATCCATTTCGGAGCCTCAACGAGGATTTTCATTATCAGAGAACGCCCGAATCCCCTCTTCAATTCCTCCACAGCTGAGGCAGATCGTGTGATAAAGGAAGCTGCGGATGCCAGTGGAAATGCCAACAAATTGCCTCAGAGCGAAGTTGAACTGGACAACCTGACCCAATTCAACACAGCGCACAACCGTAGAATCACAAGTGTTGTCGGCGAAATGCAGGCGCCACCACCGTCAGCCATACAAAGAGGCAGGAGGAACTCCCTGAACCAGCGCCACAGTGTCCACTTCAGCGACATCGAAGAAGTCATCAATCCTGAGGATGTGGATCCCTCAGTTGGACGTTTTAGGAACTTGGTCCAGGAAACATTTATCCCTAACAAGGTTTGCACACTTCTCTCCCTGGCGTCGGCTTCAGCGATTTGCGCTAGTTGGCATTTCGCTCATTTCAATTTAATGCATTTCAATTTTTTATACAATGAAGATGGTTAGTGTTTGGTTGACCCCACGGAACTTGGCATATTGACAAATCTGTTGCGTCTTGACTTAAAGCCCCCCTACTTTGTTGTAGGGTACGGGTAGGCATGAGGGGGCCGATATCGGCATCGCTGCTCCTAAAGTCGTCTCGGCGCCACCCACGCCCTCCAACGAGAATGCCGCAAACCAGGCAGTTCGTCAGGCTGCCGTGAGTAACCCCAACTTCAGTTTGGCTGTCAAACTAGGTCTTCCGATGCCAAACCTTGCACCTGATATCGATTCCGCTGAGCCCCAGGATATGTCCACCTTCCGTCTGCCGACAACAACAACCCGGCTCTCGGCTGAGGACATCCTTGGAGCTCCCCTTTCTAGCGTCAAAGATGAGATTACCGCTGGAGGAAAGCGGCCACCCGCTGATGACGTCGAGAAACCAGGACCCAAAAAGAAGAAGTACGCGAAGGAGGCCTGGCCTGGCAAGCGGCCGGGATTCCTAGTTGGGCCGTCAGTGGCCTGATCGCCTTTCTTCCTCTGTATATTTGTTGTTTTTAGGGCAAAATAAAACCACAACCACACTAATATGTCACTTGAAATACCTGACTGCACTTCATGTCCGCAGTTCTTTATCTGCTTTCGAAATTAGTGGGACGGCAGCCCCACCTACGCGGTTATAGAAGGCTGTTCTATATTTGACCAGACAAACCAACTGAAACGACTAAGAAATGAAGCGCCAGTCTGTCCATACCAATTTCGGGGAGATGGTCCATTAAGCTCGATCCTTTGTTGACTAAAATTACAGACCTCGCATCGATTTCGACGAACGAAGTCAAATTGACATAAGTCAAGCGAAAATTGGTCATTGCGACTGACCAGAGGGCCGTGGATTACCCCTTGCAGGCGGGCCACGTGCCCACACCAGACCATAAGTTTGTTGGTCAATATCCTCGGGACAACTCGAGCTACTCCCTTCGGGACGAACATTAAATGTTGTAGTGTAGTGTGAGACGCTCTAATACGCCTATAATTCTGACTAGCTACGACTGACACCTACATTGAGCTCAACCCGCGGCAACTTGTCTCACTGCATTAAGAGCAGCTTTTCATCACTGGGGTATCCGGTGGCGAAAATGCCGCAAGGCGAACCCTAAACACTACAGTTGTATTCGTGCATCAAGTAACTCTCGGTGTTCGAAGCATTAGATATAAAAACCTTTTGACTGCAGGGTATACAAAGTAGCTCCAACTAGTACAGTCCAAAAACTCCGAATTCGTACAAACACGCCCAACAAGGGGTAAGCGACATTCAGAACAAGGAGAAGGGATGTACTACAATACACGCTACCTAGCGGGAAAGGCAGTCTGGGTAAACTGAATACCGGTTGCTTGGCTTAATCTACCAGGCGCAACAGACATAACTGCAATAATCACCCATTCAAACACTACGGATACCCCTGTGCCCAACAAACAATTACAGATGCACGTGAAAATACATTCCCATCAGTGAGCATAAACTCGAAATAAATCTGCAAAGGATTCTTCGAAAGGATGAATAAACACAATTTTTAACCGACATACACATTTATTTGTACAATTACTCGTTCTCCGTCAGTCGGATCTTGGCGTTAGGGTTGACGATCCTGATATTCAGTTCCTTAGCGCGCTCGACAATCTTCACTCGATTTTTCCTCGCAACAGTGCTGGAAATAACTCCTGCATGCGTGCGATGCTGCATCATCAAAACTTCAAGTTCCTACAAATTGCAATTAGGGAGCTTGAATTTACCTTGACGTTATTAATGAGAACATGCTTGAAACCATCAGGGTGAATGTGTCTACAACGCTTGGCAGTTCGATAACCAACCCTCGGCATACGAATCTGACCCTTAAAGCGGCGACGAACACGGTTGTCAATACCCTTGGGCTTGCGCCACTTATCACCGAGGCGAACATATCGGTCACTTTGGTGCCTATG